CGCATGCCCGAGGTAACTAGGATACTGGGATGTCCAGGTGGATCAAAATAGCTGCCCACGATATGACGGATTACGAGAACTATATTTTCTGTACATTTTCGATGTATTACATTTTTCACTATGATAGTGACAAGAAAAGTTTATTTTTTTCATTACAAACCTTGAACATTGATATGCGTCATGTCAGAAGGTCGTAGCCTCAGTCTCGCTATCTACGAGAAGAGACTTGAATGGGATCTTGACATGATGTCATCATACAGTACTATGCGAGTTGCAAACCCCAAGTAATGTACCTATGATATTACTTATTGAATCCAGATTCGACGAATGGAACATTTCTGGCTGTGGGCTGAGAATACCATGCTACCTGGCGTATTTGGACATAAATCAGACAGCGGAACCATCTATAGACAAAACGAGACGAGCATTGACAACAGCGTTGCTTCCTACTTTGCAAGCCCAGTAGTTCTTCGTCAACTAAGAGTGCAAAAAGGTACAATTGCATTAAATGTTTTTGCTTGCTAAGGTCTTAATAAATGGATGTGAATTATAAAAATGTAGTAGTTTGTTATGCCAGATCAAACGATTTGTAATGTATATGTTATATTTATCTGTGTTTTTGTGTATATCTAGCCAGGCATAATAACCATATATGCAAAAAAATAATAAATTCATAAAAAATAGCGTAAATAGCCACCGAAATCTCGTTTTAACCAAGAGATCCACGTGACTTTCCTTTAAACAGTGTTTCATTTATCCTAACATCGCGTCACTGAACCAAATATCATGGACACTTAAACGCCGTGACGGAAAAAGAACACTGCCTCGTGGCGCTCATGCTCTCAACGAGATTTCACCGACTCTGCGTATAAGGTGTATTTAAAGAACGACGTTGACGACTTAATGTATTGTTATGAATGTTTAAAAAATGTGTTTGAAAATGCATCTTATTTAAATAATATGATATGACATATCGTAAAACAAACAAAAATTGCCTTATACTGTAAAATGACTAATTTTCACAGGGTTTATATTTCACTGATTTACCATTTCAGGCATATTAAGTAAGTTTCACATTCACGGTTTTATCATTTAGATTATGTGTTCTATGCTAAATTTTACATATTCACTGGGTTTTAATTTAACGCATTTTCCAGTCAGCGAAATAGGCAAAATTAAAACCCAGTGAATAATTAACCCTTTCACAGTATGAATCAGGATAGCATACATATGTGCGTTGACATTATTTAACTACTGCTACATGTACTTATTTTTGTTATCCATAATACCAATATAAAATAAAAATGATCAAGAATACTGATAATTGCAATATTTAGTTATTTACATTTTTCAATTATTTCATTTATGTTCCAGATGTTTGCGACACCCTTCCCATGTCTGCATTCACCGTCTCGTGCAACGTGCCTTATGGAGACCACTACAACGACGTCGGGAGCTATGACGTCAGATGGCAACCATTGAACGCAACGATGAAATATGATGAGCACACTCCCTGGACTTATAAAAGCATCACGAAGTCAACATGGGATATACCCTTTCTCGGGGCTACGGGAATCGCATATTCCGGAGGGGGCTACCTGGCCTTCCTCGGGAGCTCTTACATCGAAGGCAAATCGATGCTTGAACATTTGAAGTCAAACAAGTGGTTAGATCTTAGGAGTAGAGCTATTTTCATTGAGTTTGCTAATCGCAACCCTGTACATAATTTGTTAAGCCATGTGGTGTATCTACTGGAGTTCCACGCTTCAAACAAGATGTATGCAACAGCTGATATACGGACAATGTATATCCTTGACGTTGAGCAACTGGATGTCAGTGCAGTACTTCTTATACTATTTGGTATAATACACGTGCTACTTACGATGTACCTGATATGTGACAATGTCAAGAAAATATACACCCAGCGAAAACAGTTCGCGCATGATTTTTGGAATTTGTGGAATTTGAGTCTGATTTTGATATCTATTATCTGTATTGGAATCTTCTTTACGAGATTTTCAAATAAGTCGACGGCATTGAAGGAACTGCGGAATAAATCTGGTAGGTCTGCGTGTATTTAAATTTCATAATTCTTATTTAGAAAATGTTGATAGCGTTACTACCATCCCAATCTTTCTGGTCACAATAAACTTCCATACTAATACATAAACCCAAACTTTCTGTCTTTAATACGGGACAAGCCCTTGTTGGTAATGATATATATTTGTCCAGCATATAACCATGTTCGATAACCACTTTTTAATCGAATTAACTGCATTGAACCACAATTTTAGCTCATTTCGCCTATCAGTAAACTTATATATATTTTTTCTCAGGATAACCATGAAATCATCCAAATTCTTGCAAGATTTGTATACACAGCTTTTCAGATTAGATATAATTTGTTAGTGTGAGTTCTCCAATAGATGAGTTAAAATATTTTATTTTATTGAGGCGATTAAAGTCACGCTTGTAACTTTCTTTTTTATATGCATTGTAACCTGTCCCCCGGGTTAATGGGGTATATTTTTTTAGAAAAATGGAAATAAAATAATAAATAAATAATAAAAATATTTCTATTATTTATTATTAGGAATTTTTCAGAAGGTCCATAATCTCTTCTTTTGGGATGAGCTCTTCGTATTATTTCTGGGTATATTATCATTCATGACTATCATCACGTTTGTTCGATTGTTGAACATCAGCCGTAGAGTCAGCTATTTCACGAAAACGTTGAGTTTGGCCTGGCTCGATCTTAGAAGCTTCGTGGTCATCTTCGCTATCTTCTTCTTCACGTTCGTTCAACTCTTCTATCTGATGCTCGGCACGTCGTTGGAAGGCTATGGCAGTTTCACGGCAACTATGGCTACTCTAGCACTCTCTCTGCTGCAGAAGTTCAACAAAGACGTCAGTTTGAATGACAACAGTTCGAAAGAGAGGCTCTGCTTGGTTGCATTCGTTGTTGTACAAGTGTGGATTTTTATCCTGATTTTAGTGTCAATCATAAACACGTCCTTTGCCACTGTCCGGCAGCAAGATATACGAAGTGTCGAGACTGATGCGTTTGATTTGATGGTAGAGAGGTTAAAGAGATGGTTTAATGATATGTTTTCAAATATTGCACAGTCAGGGGACTCCGAAATACAAGGTATGTGTTCACGAAGCGTTATCGGTGCTTTGAGTAAAAAAAAAACACGCTGCTGTGATGTTGCGCCCTCTATCAACGAAACGCTTACGTCAGTGGGTGCAAGGAACTCCATACACATCGTCCGTCAATCAAAAAAAAAGTATTTCTAAAAAGATCTACTATAACCATAATGACGCACACCTACAAACTATTTAATTGATAAAGTTATTTTGAAGCCACGGAGACGTTTATTCACTAGAGAGACAACTTATTAGAAATGTGTAAATAATGTAATGTTTCCGTTGCTAGTTAGTTCGTCAATGGTATAATCAGTTGTGGGCGTTTCTCTGTAGTTGCCAGTGTCTGTAATATATACACCTAGATGAGAACAGCGCCGTACCATGTACCATTTTTCTTTGATTTTTTAATTTATGTTTTTATTTTGTGCAGGGTCAACGGAAGAAAGGGCAAGCGACTCAAAAAGTGGCCGCACTGAACGAGTAGTGGAGGCTATGCTCAATGGCCTGGAAAAGAAAGTGGATAGAGTGTGCGTCTTAGCGCAAAGAATCAACTGAACACTGAAGAACACTGATGTAAATAACAACAACATCAACATGATTGTACAAGAATTACTGTGCATTTGTAAATCTTAGACTGCTTATAATGTTCGAGAATCATTGTCTTTATGTATTATGTTATAATATATTGTTACATTCATGTCCAAAATGTGGGTAACTGAGAAATGTTCAAATTCTATGGTAACAAAGTGAATAGACTAAAGTAAATCTGGCAACAATGCCGACAAAATAATTTGCAAGCGTGCTACTTGTTGATATACGTTATTCACCAATAGAGGGCGCGATTTGTTGTCCTCGCGTTATCTTTGGCTGCATTTGTGGTTATGTGAGCTCTTATAGACCAAAAATGGAAACTCATTTGAAAAATGTATTTATTCATTGTGTAACAATATGTGAACTAAAAACATATTTTTTAAATTATTAGAGAAAGAATTGATAATTTATGTTGTATCCTCGGGCGGACATCCGGGTATGTTCATCGGCTGGCATCCATCACGGTGAAAACAAAGGCCGAAAACTCTCAGAAAACTGCATTTTTTGCTAGTTGTTGAGACTCTCCTGAACAGTGTAACAAGATTAACCCCACATGTGTATAAATTCTGTTCAGCTGTATTTACATATGAAAAAAACACACGCACTCTTTTGACAAAAACAAATGTGAATACGCAGTAGTTCTACTTAATGGATGCTCTAACAATGACTTTATCTGTCGTGAGCAGTTTATGACCGTAAAATATGTGCGATTTTTTATATATTACCTCCTTCGGAAATATGAAAAACATTAAGTTGATTTGTATTTTGTATACAATCTATTCTTATTACAATTGCTCCTGTATTTTACCAGAAATCCCTTTACATGCAGCATCTCGTTCTACAAGGTTTTCCATATTCCAAAATGTCGAGTATCCTCGGGGGCGGAGCTACGTCACGGACGTTCTACGTTGCTGAGACGCGCACCACTGTACCACGTATTTCTATGGGCTTTGTGCGCGCTGCTGTGGAACGCCGGTGGAGCCGGTGAAAACTCAAGAAAACAACACAAACTCAACTTTGAAGTAATCCTGAACAACCAAATTTACATATGTTACACACGTATGGCTCATCTTATTACACTGTTCAGGGGACTCTCAACAACCATCGCAAAGTACCGTTTTCTGCGAGTTTTTGGTCTTTGTTTTCACCGCGAGGGTTGCCAGGCGGTAGAAAATGCCCGGATGTCCGCCCCCGAGGATATGTCAGAAAATGTTTTTTTTTAAACAATGTAAAAAATTACACAATTGACATTTTAAATAATTTTAATAGTTTTAAAAACAATGTAGTCGCATTTTTAGAAAATAATCTTTGCTATTTGTGATTTTTAAATATTTGTTTTTAAATGTTGTTTTATTTGTGAAATATTTCATTGTACACTCCTGAAAAAAATGAATGTTTGACGAAACTAGCTAATGTTATTCATATTTTGATCGGTTGTAATCGTATTTCTATGAACTCATATTTCATGTTTACGATCATGTATGAATTTCTAAAATCTGAAATTCAATAAATGGGACCGAATATTTTGGGTGTTTAAGTATAACTTACTAACCTGCCCACAATGAGTGTGTTTTTCTATCTTTCATTTTGTGTAATATTACAACTTTTCTATGTCAATGAGATATACTATGAACCTGAATGCGATCATTGCATTGCTGTGGATTATTTCTAAAGCAGCTAATAAGCAGATTTTGGTATTCCTTTTCCAATACAGTGAATGATAACAAGAGTACGACAGCGCCAACATGCGGTTACCTAATATCAGATACGGTATTCGTAACACGCCATTTAGTGTTAGAAATTGAAAAGTGACAATAATGTTAAGCCTTGCAATGAATAAATATATAAATAAACAAATAAAATTAAAAAAAAACAGAAACGAAAAAACATATTTTTAGGCCTAATATAATGCTAATTCAATATTATTGACACATTTTAAAGCACTTTAGTGAGTAAAACGGCATGAAAACATTGATTTTTGTGAATACAGAAATAACAAAGCATTCATACGATATCAACATCAACATGCCCAAGAACACAAAACAAATGACTAACAAACACTATGTGATAGAGGTATTCACTTGAATTTATGTTATGTGTTTTACCACATACTTTTACTTAATTAATAAGTGTAATCATGATTGTGACGATTGAATGATGCTCAGGATAACAACCCGGGCAGTACTTGCCTGGTATAGGTGGCAAAAAATTCAACGGTGCCCGTCTACTGATTGCCGTCAATGTATTGCAACTATTTGATTGAAATAGAGACATGTTCTATTCCTTGTTTGTTGTTGACGGTGCTCTGTCAGCTTGTAACATTGTACGATGCACGTAGCAGAGAGAAACACCAGGGAATACGCTGTTTTCTTGTTTCTTTTGTTTTATGTTTCGTGGACATTGAAAATATACCCCTTTCTCCACGATATTCAGACGCGTATCCCGCGATGAGACCCCCCACCCCCCACCCCCACCCCCCACCCACCCACAGAGCAACAAATAACTTGAACCGCTTGTAAAATTACTAAATATGTTTAGGGTAGCCAACATCTGATATGCAGATATAGCTAGATGGGATGGTGTACAAAAAAAAAAATTGTCGCTTATTGTTCCATGAATTTGAAATTGCAATATAGACGAAAACGTACATTTCATTGCAATTAACCACTGGCATTGGATTGTGATTCATCATAAACTAAACTTGGCCACCGGGTTTCCCTAATGCTTAATGACCGATGTTTAATTTTATATCTTTAAAATACCGAAAATGACTAGTTATAACATGCAGCTGAAAACACATCAAGACTGTGAGATTCGCTCACCACGAGTGGGTGGTGCTGACACGTTTTGTTGATTAAAACCGATTTTCGCACACGTGTAAGTATGCACTGAATATTCAGACACATTTGAAATTGTAGGCAAGTCATAGTTTTTCTCGCCAGATAGATTCGCGGCAAAACTCAATTTATATTCTTAAACGCGTTTTTGACCGCATACAATAATAAGGGAAGGCCAACAGCAACATGAACACTAATGAATCAGGGGGGTGGGTCCTGCAGGGGTTAATAGCTAAAACAAAATTGCACGCCTGGCTTTTATATTTCACACAATGGAAACAAATAACCGCAAAAACATTGCGAAAAATGAGCACAAAACTAAGTGAAAGAACAACATACTGTGAAATGACTAATTTTCACTGGGTTTAAATATCACTGATTTACCATTTCAGGCATATTCAATGGGTTTTTAAATTCACAGTTTTATCATTTAGATAATGTGTTCTATGCTAAATTTTACATATTCACTGAGTTTTAATTTAGCGCATTTTCCAGTCAGCGAAATAAGCATAATTGAAACACAGTGAATAATTAATCCTTTTTCATGCACAGTTGTTTCTGCTATGCCAACACACCACTCCAAAAATCACACGTTTATTTGTTCAAGGGCGTGCCCAGGTTTAACCTATTTGTGCTCCGGGGTGAGCAGTTAGTCACATTTGTATTTTGCGTTATATTTGCATAACGGCCACCAAATAATTAACTGGAAATGGTGTCAGACGTATGGTTTTATGCATTGCTTGTGTCTGAACAAAGTGGCAGATCTTCTATAAATCAATTTTGGCCCGGTTTATTTGTCACATTGGGAAACCACTTGTCCAATCGTGTGGCTGGTCGCGTTTCGTTCGCCACTCATTCTAAAGGAATAATCGAATAATGGATGAGGACGCGAGCGCGCGTGTGATCGATCGCTCTCGAATAATTGTTGACAAGAGAGAATGCCCAAGTCGCGTACGCGCATGCGCTTCTCACACAGTGTCCGTTCTGAGAACAATAATTATATCTTCGCTGCCTTTTATCAGCGTGATATTATTATTAAAATTCGTTATGTATTCAAAGATGCGTTCCCACTAAACATCAACGTGAACGCAAAGGCAGATTAGTAGGTATGTGCGTATGTGTTGAATACTAGCAACGCCCTGGACAGGAACAGCGGAGGTAAGTCATGTTTGCTTATCTACTCTAGATTTGCGGTCGCGTGTTAATAACCAGAATTGCTTATTGCGATATGATGTGATGTAAGCGCCGAATATGTGTCATAATGCCACAGTACAAAGCATAAGCGTGAGAACACCAAATTATTTACAGCGAATGCGTGCTAAATATGGGAATAATTAATCGGCCACATAATCTAACTTGACAGTGTAACCCACCTTGACCCGACCGGATGATCCCTTTTCTTGTCTAATCCAAAATTATTTGAATCCAAGTGATGTTGATTGGTGTTCGTCACGTGACATATTATATATTTTCTCGTGTCGCCATGTGAGTCGCAAACTGAACGTCACGGTACATCACGTTGGTATAGCCGCATGCCTCTAAATAATTCGAAAACTCGTTGCTTGGTTACCGTGTTAGAGAAGAAATGTGTTCTGATCCATCAATCGAATTGAACAACTAATTAACTAATGAATTATTTAAAGCTGAATATGGAAATGAGTCGGGTGACTGATAATATCAACAGAAAAGTGTTTGTAATGACGTGTTTCGTTTATTAGTTGTACGGCAGTATTTATTGTGAAGAATGGGAAACGGACAATGTCGCTTGAATGTCAATTATATTGACAGAAGCACACCGTCGTCACCAGAGTGTCAGTTGTATTGCGCTTTGGATGTGCGATCACGCATCGCCATGGCAACAATGATTGAGTATCAGAGATCGTGACAGATGTATTACCCAATAGGAATTTAATTTTCTTAGTGATGTGCGCTGTATTCTGGAGGGGGGTATATAATACCGACATGTTGTATTAGCGATGATTACTAGATGGATGAATACATTACGGCAGAGAAACTTCGAACTATTCATCAATGTAGCTGCTTTAAGTGGTTCACGTGTAATATATATCCGGTTCAGTTGTTTTAGTGATGTCGTATTAGTGTGTGTTTTTTTATTTAAAAGTAGAAATAACGTCATATACACACATTATCCAAATTTTTATTTCGTAAATAGAATTTACACAATAAAAGAATGAATAGAATAAACACAAAACGATCGAGCGACACATTTCAAATAGGTTATTACAAACTGACACACAACGTTGAACCAACACGTGAAAAACTGTCAAGTACTCAACCATATATGACGGCATAAACCACAAAGAATTCAAAAAATTAAAAAAAGAGTCCGCACATATATTCTCAAACTTACACATATTTTCTGTTGGCGCGAGAACACACATTCAACTTCCGGCAATTTATTTAATAAGACCCGCAAGTTTATTCAGATATTTTTGAACCGGGTAACCCCAAATTATAGTATTATAGTCTGAGTAAGGTCGTGATTTGGACAAACAAACTGCTTTAACATCAACGTTAGGTGTGATCTGTGGTAAATGCAGCTAGGCTGTGTTTGTGTCCGGTGTAATCCACTGGAATTCTTGTGCAATCAATATTAAAGCGGGGGGGGGGGTCGTCACCTGCGCACACGCGGGAATTGAGTCCCAAACGATGATAACAACACACGCTAAAAACGCAAAGACTTGTAGGTAGACGCTTGTTTGTAAACAATGACGCACTATGCCAATCTGACGCATGCGTATGTGATGACTCCCCCGCTTTAAGTTTCATTCACCAACAACTTTACAGATTATTTGATTGTTTGTAAAAAAAAAAAAAAAAAAAAATAACTGGCAGCCATTTGACTGACAATTTCATTTGAACATTTTTCCAAACGTTGAAACGCAGCATCGCCGTCATAACGTGTCGGTGTATTTGACATGGATCCCCTGTGACACGTGTAAAATTCAAACGCGTGGTGCGCGATAACTGCGATACTCCAGCTAATTAGTAGCAGTGTGCTTCCTCCTTCTCAAGATAAAGTGATTTGTTGAAGACTCAGCTTCCTAGGAGAACTTGAAGAATGTGCTATATTTGTTTGAGGACCCTCCATCACTTAGTTACCAAGAAATTCACTGAAAAACAAGTGTACGTTCACAACATGTCAATCTTATCATTGTGACATGTTTTTATAGCTATGTCGATAACATTATTTTCAATAACATCGCATACTATACAACAATCGAGGCATTCTGCCAGAAGCCAGTTAAATAAACTAGATATTATCGCCATGCCAGTGAACTATTCCTTATTTAAGTAATTCGTAAACAATTATGACAAGAACCGATTTGTAATTCGACACCGTGACGAACGCAACCCGTTCAATGTGTACCTCGGGTAAGGTTTCCAAAATATACTGGTTGCTCTCCACACTGCAAGCCAGGTTACAACCTCGACAATGTTTTTTTTTTTAATAAATTAAGTGGAATTATTCTAGAAATGTTGTTTGTTGCCTTGTATAAATAAAAAAATATTCGACCGGTAATTAAACCAATTTTTCTACTAAAAGTGGTTTTGACTGTGACCAAACGAACCTGCTGTCTGGTCAATATTCAGACAAATTAACCAAACGACTTTTATCACTGATTTTTCAACTAATTTGTGCAGTGTTAACTTAACAACAAAATAAGTTACACGCTCCAACAGTACAGTCGCACGACCCCTGGCCAATCAGAATCCGTCGGTTCATTTCTGATCAATCAAAGCCACATGAGGCCAAATATTCAAATATGGCCCAATTGGGTGAATATATAAACGGTATCACTCTTATATGATGCATCGTTTCAACCATTTGCAGTAAGTCGGATTATAAAATAAAGGTCACACATTTTGCCTGTATATTTATCAATTTCATCAAACGTGTTATTAAAAAAATGTTTTATTCACTCAGTCATAATTTTCGCGCTGTAAAGTCTGATATTCGCGTTAATTAGCATCGATTGCGAGCGCGTTACCATTAATCGACACAAGTAGGCATCCAATCACGCGCGGGCGAGGGAGTAAAATCATTGATACAGATAAATAACGCGAGATGTTTCTTGTTTGTCACAACCAATGGACAACAATATCGACTATATGCACATGTCGATCGACCCACCTATGCTCACAACCACCTGTCACACATTAAATGTCGATCGTCTCGTTTCTATGACAGGCGTTGCTATGGTAACTAATCTAGGGTGCAATAAAATCGAGCCAGTCCCTTCAATGTAGTTCATATGTTTGATAACCTCGTCAGAGGTCAAGGGTCACCAATTGTTTAATAGCTAGTTAATAATAGAGTTCATTTTGTTTGAGTACGCAGCATATCGTCAGCGTCATAGACTTAAAATAGGTAAGATGGTTTGTGTGTACTTTCTACCGTCAAACGTACACTGTATGTTGTTTTCAAAACAGTGTTGACGGCAGCTGGCAATCTGTTGCCAGTGAGTGTTTTTGTTTTGTAGATTGTTACATGAAATGCATTTCACTTCAACAATTGTAGACTGAATAGTACAGAGTCTGTTAATTTTCTAGGCAGAGAGGTGGTAACGTTGGGGCAATGTTTAGATAGTCAATAGACTATAGTACCAATTTTGGGGGCGTTTTTAGTATTTAAGTGTTACACATTACGTTTATGCAAAATAAGGCAGTTTTGTGTCTAACATGATTAAATTAAGCAAATAACATCGAATAAACGGCAAGGTAAAGACTATGTCTAATTATAGTAAACACGTACTGCGTGCGTGCACATGATTAAACTGTCTTGTCGTCTCCTTTTGCGGAAAAACTGCTTCAGGCTCGCCTGGGATGCGACTCTTAGATACTTGCTAAAACATTTTTTTTGAATCATTGATGGTTGTACTAAGGTGTACTGCCCTCTCCCGCCGCCGCTTTTCTATTCTAAACACACTTGTGCATAACAGTATGATACTATCGTTTACATGTGTATCTACTACAATTTCTGAAATCAATGTGTACTTGACAAATAGTGTCGGTTAGTACACGGTTGTTGGCATCTTTACGAGCGAACAGGACAGTATCAGTTCCACTGTGTGTATCTCCGTACATATACACATAGGAGCACACTACTTCATGCATGCGTTCGTTGCCCGGATACCCTGTCATATCTTGGTATGCAACGATTAAAGGTGATGATAATCACATTCAAATTGCAATACTATCACCATAACAAGTTCGATAATGAAGCTCTCGAGTTTAGTCGACCCTTGTTTATGCTGTTAAAAAATAAACTCCTTCGCATTGAACTTAACACTTATCAATTGGACAGATATCATCTTGCGTTGGCATTGTAAATAATTTTGGTGTGATAGATACCCGACGTTTTATCTTATTTTGGCCATTGCTACCCTAATCCTTTTAAAATAGTATGACAAATCTACAGCAGGTACTTAGTTTTATATTATTCGTCAGACATAAGCCGAAATTTGGTCACCTGTTACAAGAAATGGCAAAAATGTCGATACAAACGACTCATAGCTTGCTTAGAGTCCACTTATTGGTCAGTCGGTGATTTCAGTGGCTGGTAAAAGGCGGTGGTCGTCGCTCCCGGGCCGAGTCCCGTTCGATATGGGACTCATAGCGACGTACACTACGCGTGTAAAATACATTGTTTATTTACATGAAATTCGCGGAACACGCGCTGCGCGACGAACACCGTCTATTTATCAAATAGTGAAAGTCAATTCAGCTGCACTGGTATGGACAATATTGAAAAATGAATCCAGCCTGACTACTCACTGTAATGTATTAATCCGCCATTTTAAAACAACTGTTTTTTTTTACGAAAATTGACTCGGAAATTATAATCCTAAGGCTTCCTTATTCTAGTGTCATATTAAATTAAACCGTTCGAAATACAGGTGTAACCCTTGCAAAAAGGTGTTGTTTTAGAGATGTTTAATAACATTTATGGGTGCCTACGTGACCTACCCACTGACACAAATTCTAATTGTGGTGTAAAACCTATACATTTTGGGGCATATCTGTTGCCATTAAAATTCTTTCTGTCAAATTATGGTAAATTAATACCAAAATTAATTCTTTTTTTTTCGTGATTTTAAGCCACATTTCAAAAGATTTTGTGAAGGCTCAAAGCTCGACTATTGTTATATACCTACATTCCTAAAAAACTAGCTATTTCAATTACATAGCACTTTGCAATTATTGAATTTTAACGTAGAGCAGTCGTGACAGTGGTTGTAAATGAGGTGGCAAGGAAATTGACGGAAAATATAATGTTCAATGAACAGTAATTGGCTTTTAAATATTCTCTTATCTGTTGTGATTACACTTTATTCTGGTATACCATTAAACTGAAGTTGATGTTAATCAAGCGTTGAACCGATCCGTCATGCCAAGGACAGAATGTCTTAAATCAAAATACCCGGATGTCATACTACCAAACCGTCCTCAGGGCGACCGTTTTTAATCACAATAATATTGAATGCTCGGCAGAATAGTTAAGAGCATGATGATAATATATCGTTCTTGATGTTGTTTCCATAGAAACGTGACAAAGCAGCCGACGAGAACAAACGAAGCACATACATTGCCGCATATCATCAGGTTATACTGTGAACGTAGGTTGGGCAACGGAGGACGTTGTGTTGTGCCTTTAATACTCGGTAAGTACGTGCCGACTTCGCTTATTTTACACATGTATCCATTGGCGACTGCTGGTCTTCAGCAGTCGACTTTCATATAATGAATGGATATGCATAGATTGTTCTTCGTCGCATCGTGTTGTTTGTGTTTCCTGTATCATCATGGGTGCGTTCTAAACGCCCACGACTGACAGGTTAGGTCGACTGTCATGTGATGAAAACATCACACCTACATTTAGAGTTTCAACTGCGCATAGATACTGCAACCATGGACACATTTTATAACCTCATATCGATGCTGACGTGGCGTCTAGTGCCGTTGAGCAAACTCGTACTGTGTCCTATTGAAACTACGGTGTACGAGTGTTATTCATAATTCATCACCGAGACATTGATTAACGACCACGCCCGAGTTCCAAGATGTATTGCTGTATTTAAATTTAGTATTATTACTAAACGCCGAGTCCCCGAATTGTTCCCAAATCTTAAAATGTAACAAACCTCATATAAGAGTTGGTTGCGTACTATGGCACGATACACACACGTACATATCGTGTCTAAATAAATAATATAAAATATTGTATATAATGATCGCATATGCGTAGTGTAAACATATACTGTATAGTTGCAATAAGTAGAGGCACGTATGATCACTTGGCACGGCAATACACATGGGGTGATAATTTGTTGCTGGGCAACGCGCTTCTAATAGTTTAACGACTTGTGGAGTCCTTGGTCCCAGGTGGCGCAGTGTTTACTAATGTATGTGTGCGTTACCGTTTTTATCACTAATCATGCATGACAATGTGTCAATTTCCGTGAAATTAACAAGAATCGGTTATTAATCATTCATTGTATCGTATTTCATATTTCAAGAGCTCGCATCGTGACTCCATTGTTTTCTCTGGTGGCGCTACAAATGCAACGGGAAGGAATTAATGCTATAAAACACGTCACTTTCGTTACTTTGCAATTCGAGTGGAAGCTTTTAAATAAGAACAATATTGTGCCAGGTCGAATAACTAAACACTCTCGTCTTCACGTTGTTTTAATAGTGTTACTGCCCTTAAAATATAGTATTATATTAGTATATTGCTAGGAGACTGGGTCTAGAATGTCTAGTAAAGACTAAAATGTATGTTAACTTCATAGATAAAAGCTGATATGACCGATAAATATAGTTGAAATAATTACAATGTAGTGTTATTGCCACCAAGCAAATTTTTTAGATATGAACAAAAATAATCTCACCATGTAAGCCATGATATTTCGGGCTCTTGTATCTCAAAACAATCATCCGGTGACTCCATTTTTGTTTTCATTTTCGGTATTCTGATGGTATGAACTTAAAGTATGACGAATATGACGTCTTCAATTCTACTCGAGCCTACTTTACATTGGATACAGTAATGCGCAAATATATTAAAGCGGGGAGTCGTCGCCTGCGTATGTGGCAGACGACCATAGCGTGTTATTGTTTACAAACAAGCGTCTACCCAGAAGCCTTTGCGTTTTAGCGTGCGTTGTTGTTGTCGCTTAGGACTCAATTCCCGCGCGTGCGCAGATGACGACCCCTCCGCTTTAATATATTAATATATACAAAATAAAGAGATAAATCTATATTATCTATATTCATATAACATATATTTTCTAGCGTAACCATTTTTAGATTTTTTCGTAATGACGTCATTGTCACGTGATTTTTTCGAATATTTCGAAAGTTAAATTATATATATATATATAATATACATCAAAATACCAACATGTCACAGCAGTGGATATGATAGCTGATTCAATTTTGGGAAAGTAATGGGCAAAAACGCAATTAAATGAATTGTATAAATATGCATGGTGGTTTAACTTCAAGGTCACGTGACCGCTTTAAGCTACCAAAAAACATTGCTATCATATTTTTTCGGAATCTACACAAAATAAGCTTCAATTTGATATATGATAGCCTTTGCCACCCCGGGTGGTAATGATCCGCTATTTTAACCACTTGGCTCATGGACTACATGGCTTTATGATATTAGATATTTTTATTTATTATTGTTAAGTTGAAATGACCTGCAATATCTAGGTATAGGAGATCTCCATCATGATACTGCACAAAAGACAAATCAGGACTACTGAAATTCATTCTCTATTTTGCTGAACAGATTTCACATATTCTGTCTTCCAAATCAGTGCCTGTAAAACGTCTATCTCAAACCATTAGCCAAGAAATTGAACAACAACGCCCTGCCAAGGCAGGTCTATATTTAGTTTATTTAATTTGCATAAAATATTTTTCCGGTTGCAACATACTTTTAATGTAACAATATAACCTTAGTTAGTCCAGCGAGCACACTTCATCGTGCGAGATATGGGACTCATATAAACAAAGATGGCGACTTTGACTGTTGCACAAACCAACGAATACAAACTGAGACGTTATTAAGCTTTAACTATGCACTTTCTTTGGTGATTGATAGGTATTGATTGAGCTGCCGGCCGTAATTAGTGCATGTCGTGTCCAGATCAAAACTCGTACTTGTGATTTCATTAAAAAAGCGCACTGGATTGTGGGAAAATCGATGTTTATCAACACAAATGCGTTGTAATTTCTAAGCTAGGGCACACTGTCTATAACACTAAATTTTGGCCCGAACAGTATTATTGGCAGTATCAGATTATCAAAAAGTTCGGATTAAACATTGAATCTTAGTACACCAACTTTACGTTGAAAACAGAATAAAGAAAACCTTGCCTTTTTTTTGCTTGACCAGCCAAATTATCTAAGGCGTAAGACCATGTATTCCTACATGATAAAACAAGTCCTAAATATTGATATAGGTTTGAGACCTCAATATTTGTAGAACTCGCTTACTGTATTACTGTATATTGTAATGTTCTTGTGGTGGTTGGGAGAGGGGGTAGTGAAATACATGGAGTTGGTTTTATGTACATTAATTACCCGGATGTGTTTATTTTTCAATACCCGTGTCTATACATTAATTGTTTATAACGAAAATGCTACACACCATTTTAATTACTTATAATAGCATGTCTGATTTCAACACTTCTCTTGTTTGTTTGAAATGCATATCCCTCAGGCTGTTAGAAGGTCACGTGAATACCGTGGCAGATTCTGTTTTTAATGCATTCGTTTGTGAATACCGATTATCAATAAATCCTACTCCCCGGTGTGACTGTGTGTGATTTCAATAATGCCAGATCTACCCAGCAATGGTGACAGCTGTGACTGTATTATTCCACAGACAGACAGACAGACAGACAGACAGACAGACAGGCATACATTAATTTCATAATTTATCTTTGATTCATCCTGTTTTGTTTGTTTACTTCTCTGAATATCGACTAGTAATTCTTCAACCTCACATTTTTTCTGTATTTGTGACAGGTCACGATGCCCTTTACTCCGTCCGCTCACAGTCAGCGACTGTTATCGCTAATGGGTACAGACGAAGTCAGAATAACCGATAAGCGATATATGGACAAGCTGAAGAAGAGGTTACAGGTGGAGTACGAGGTCAGTAATTATTCCCGCTTGTGTGTTTGTTTGTATGTGTCACATTTACATATACAGTCAATCTATTTCATTGAATATTAATACACCCGTACAAGTAAAGCCTATGTTAAAGCGGGAGGGTCGTCACCTGCGCACGCGCAGAAATTGAGTCCCAAGTGATGATAACAACACACGCTAAAAACGCAAAGGCTCATGGGTAGACTCTTGTTTGTAAACAATGACACGCTATGGCCATCTGACGCATGTGCAGGTGACGACTCTGCCGCTTTAACATTTTGATTAGATTGTAAACATGTGTTCCATTTTCGCCAAACTTCGTGGGCCAGCATGTTTCAAAGTGCAGATAAAGAAATATCTGTTTTTTGCATGTCGAAGTGTATTTTTTGTGAATAAAAATAGGATACACTGATCTTTTAAATTGGGTGTAAAGTGTCACCTGTGGCATAAACTGATTTATCCAGCATCTTTTTTTTAATTTTAAAAATCACACAATCGCTCGAGTCAGTCTAACTTCCGGAAGTAATATTAAAAGTGAATTGCACACGCTGTGATCTTGATCGTTTCTGAACACTGTTTCAACCAATTATCATTGCATCTCATTGGATCAAAAGAAATTATCGTGGAGGAGCAAATCGTTCGATAACGAAATGGTTGGATGTGACAGGCAGCAGTGGCGGCATGGTGAAATCAGGGTAGATGTCGTGGGAGATGTGATAGTGACGGTGGCGACTGCGAATTATCACAGCGCCATCAAATAACTATATCAATATTTTTCGCTTGATGATTTCGTTTATTATTTCTGAATGTCCATACATGATATAATCAGTACGTCGCGATTAATTTACTATTTACATACAATAAAATCGAAAGGATTACAAATTGACGTCATCATTGCATTAAATGAAGAAATGTGAACATAAGGTGATTTGTGAGATTATGGAGATTAGGAAAATGAAATAAAAGAATTCGCATCTGAACCTCTGCTATAAAATCGACCATTTTTGCCGACATATGCTTTATAACAGAAATAAAAGAATTGTGACTACCTGCTCCAATTTAGTATATAATGATTTGTTGTATTTTTATTAAAATTAATTGTTCGTATTTTTTCCCATCTACACAATTATTTGCAAAGTGGGATTAACAGCAGTGTGGTGACACGTTCTCCTGGCAATATGTTTCTTTTTATTGAGCCATACCATATTTTACGTTTTTTTAAGTACCAAATTAAGTCAAATAATGAATTTAGGCAAAGGAGGATATTGTGTAACCGCTGGCTAACAGAATTGTTATGCCTGCTAGGCACGGTATACTAATTTATTAACTCGGACTGGCGCGGTATGCTGTACTGGGAGAGAGCCATGTTTATTATAAGTGCCCGAACGCAAAGCATTATGGGTTCTGAGAAGTGAGATTTTACATAACAATGATGTTATCTTAGAATATGTAAATTGTATTATTTATATACGAGTAAGCAAGGCACCAAATTTTGAGGAGACCAGATCCCTCAAAAACCACCCATTGAAAAAAATACAAGTAAAACAAATACCCCTTATTACGCTAGTTCAAAATCATGGTAACTTGAAAATGCCACAATACAATCCCTTTGATTATTGAAAAAAGTCAAAAAGAGGTCCCTTGCCCATTTTGAAACATAATTTATAGACCACTCTGAGTGCTTCACATACTCGTTGCTGAATTAGCAACCTTCTGGCTTCAGATACAACAGGCCACTTTTACCCTTATGCATCCCAAAGTGAGACTGGCTGGAAATGCCTGCAAGCAAATAAATTGCTCCAAATCCAGGCATGTCAGTCTGCTGGTATTTCGCGAAAAAGGATCATTTTTTCTGTCAAGTCGAAAAGCATATCACCACATCGGTATGCGCGTCCACGTTGTCAGTTTACGATAAATCGTAATCCATTGTGATCACAATGTACAATAGTAAATCAAAGGGCGGTGGTCTTCGCGCTGCACATGTGCGACTCTTGTGTTGATAAACATTGATTTTCCCACAATCCAACGCACTCTTCCGATTGAAATCACAAGTATGAAGTTTGACCTTGGCGCGACTTGCACTGAATACCGACGGTGACTCATTCGATACCTTTCTATCACATTTACAAACACCTAATTAAAGCTTGGTAGCGTCTCAGTTTGTACTCATTGATCTGCGCAACAGTCAAAGCCACCATCTTTGTTTATATGTGACCCATATATCTCGCGCGACGACTACTGCCCTTAATATTAAAAAAGGAACAGGTATTTATTCTTCCATACAAAATCGTTCGAGAAAGCGCCCTCGTTGACTTAGTTCACAGACTGATTTACCATCCGCCATTATAGCTTTTGGACACAAACCAGCTATTCTATTTGGCGATTTGTTGATGGCGAAAGGACAAAAACAATCACACTCAGCTCAAATTTACCCCATGACAATTCTGTACTTCTCGGTTAAAATACATATAGACATACATCATCATATTTAATGAATTCGGTTATTCGGGCATGAGCTCAGCCTTCTAGTACCATCTAGGGAAAATATGAAAACCACAAGTAATTCAACAACTGTATTATTCACACATATTATTTTCGCCGTAGACGGCGTACTTCACATTGAAGTTAAAATGCCCATATAATAATCGTGTTCCTGTTTCTTAGAAAAAAAACATGACTTTCTAAGATTTTTTTTTCTGCGTTTCTTACTTGCTTTTAACCATTTTATCGTCAACAGGTGAATTTGAAAAAGAGAGAAGAAGCCTTGGCGCTGACCGAAGTAAAACGAGAGAAGGAGCTCATTTTACAGGGGAAGATCCCGTGTCCATACGATGTTCTAGAAAAGAAACAACGGAAAGTAAAACACAAGAGGAAAAGATCAAAGAAAAGGGTTAGTACGTCACTCTGAATTCCACCGATTAGAAAGACAGCTTTGAGAGGAAATAAATAAATAACTTAGATATATTTTTGGATTTTTTAATATGACTGTAAAAAACATTTATTTTCACTGACATTTAATGTTACTATTTTGTTGTTTTGGTCAATTTCACTGAGGTTTAAGTTCACAAACATAGCAGATAAACACTTTTATTTCAAATTTCACGCGGATTTAATTAAGCGGATATTACTTATCAGAAAAAAATAGCGAAATTAAAACCCAGTGAACAATTGCTGCGTGTACACTATTGTATTTTGATAAACGCCTTTGGTTTTGATTTGTTGCGTATTCTAATTTGTACGTGTTTTGATGAAATACTAGTAATTAACACAAATTCGCATGCCTGTTGAAATAATGAGTACGCACTATTATCTAAACGAATTAGATGTCAAGGTTGGCCGTTACGAAAACGCGGGGAGGTTAAAAATTAGGTCCAGAAAAACTAAAAAATGCGGTAAAAAACAGCATCCTGAAAACAATCTAGCACAAAATTATATTTTACATTTATTCTGAGGGTAGCTTCACCCCAAAACCGAAGCAAGATAAATTACCATATTAACCATAACAAATATAGATACGTCACTGGTATGAGCAGCACTAAGCGTAGAAAATATGCCACGGTGTTGCAGTGAAAATTCCATCCTAAGTCCGTAGAAAAAACATTACCCCTCTCCAGTTTAAAAAAAAAAAAACGGTGGTGATAGAATTTTTTTTCTCAGTTCATGCACAGTTCCTATAGAGGGACTATGGTTAAGTGTTGTTGTGTTTCATCGTGATAATATGCTTTGTTTCATTCCAGAAATCATCAAAAGGATCCAATAGCGGTGCAAGTGAAGGTATGGTCAATAGCTTAGGAATTTGATCGATTTATAACGGGCTCTGATTTACTGTAAATGTACGTTGGACCGGAAGTTGAGACTGTCTGGTATTTCTGTGATATGTCAGTTATGCTAGACTTCCAGAAAAAGACTGTTCGGAGTGTGACATGTTTTTCCTCCGGCTAGTTTGTGCCCGAATCATTTTCATCAACCCAACTTTATTCTCTTATATTTGTCTCTGTTAGCATTATTTCTGCCTTTTTACATTCAGCCCAGCTGATATAATATATTCTCAATTGGCTCAAATATTGTATGAAATTATATACATGTAGTTGATAATCACAAACAAACAAACAAACACGTCGTACCTTGGCCAAGTATTCTTTACGAGTCAGCCCCTATGGGTGAGTTGCGAAATGAAGCTTGGACCAGGTGTGCCAGGACATGCATAGATGCCTGAAATTCTCGTTAATTTGACGGAAATATACACAAATTACAAACAACGTGTCAAATATTAAACAGTTTTTTCTATGGATAAATAACTCAACAAAACACGGATAATCCGCTAACCCTATACTATTTCGTTCTTCCATTGTCTAGGTGAAAGTTCAGAAGGCGGTCGAAAGGTAAGTTAGTCGGGTTTATTTTTATTGCACAAATTCGCATCAAATAACTAGTGATAATTTGCTAATTACTCGTAGCTAATTAGTGGTCCTGAATACTACGCTTATATATATTATTATTACTCGTATCTAAACAAAGTTTTGAATTATGGACCTCCATTGTATACAGTTTGCTCATTTGCATCTCCAAAATCGCCAACTTGAAATAGAATTTATCTCATGGTACCTCCGATTGTTATTTGCTCTTTGTAATTTACTTGATGGACATTTTCACGTGACAAAATAAACAAGACTTAGTAGTGCTTTTAAAATTTCCACTTGGATACTAGTTAAACGCTTGTATCATTAAAGTGGGGAAGTCGTCACCTGCGCATGCAGCAAACGACCATAGAATGTCGTTGTTTACAAACAAGCGTTTACCATGACCCTTTACGTTTTTAGCGTGCGTTGTTATCGTCGCTTGGGACTCGTTTCCTGTGCGTGCGCAGGTAATGACCCCGCTCCCCCTTACCGATACTTTGTTTTCTCGCTTACACTTTATTTTTGTGTATAATTTGTAGTGCGGATTTGTTTTCCAATTCGTAATCACCAACCAATCTACAAATACATACCCACACCCTCTAATAAATATAATAAACCATTCGGTATTTGCACTGACAGCCTGAAATTGTAGATACATCATATAATGAATGCGGTTGTTGTCGATTTCAGAGAAGCATTCACGCCAGTAAGGGCCGTCTATCACGAAGATCAAGTTCGCGACGTACGCGGAAAAGCGAGGAACAGAGCCTGTCGTGTGATGAAATCACACAAATGTCCAAGCAGGTAGACATTTTATTATAATTAAATTGAGTTACAAGGGCAAATATTGAGCATTCTTACGAGTACGTAATTTGTTTATGCCGTGGCGGTTATAAAAATGGTATATTTGTTACATTTGTGGTAAACAGAACGAAGGTTCCGAAGAGGAAGCAACTACTACCGAGTCTTCTGACATCGTCGATGAAGCAATTACAAATAACAGACACTACAACAATCCAAATTTAATACAGTTTATGCAAGCCGAGGTAAGAATTAATACAATACTAGTGGGTTGAATCTTTTGATCAGCGCCAACATCGGCGATTATCTATGGTTGAGATGAAAGTGGGTTATTTTCATTTACAAATACCAATTCCTCCATCTACAACACAGTATAAACGCAGACCAACGGTAAACTTAATCATTTGGTTTGTTTACTGGCGGGGAGGGCGATTATTGCCACCGTGAATAGAAGGTAGTTGACGACTATTGGCTGGGTGAGTAGTGTGAAATTGAACGCATATAAATGTTTAAAATCACTGACGTTCATTGTTAGCGGCTAGCAGGAAAGAGTAAGTATTACATGAAAAATTGCAGTTGATTGGCCAATCAAAATCCCGTTACAGTCACGAGTTACCGGCATCCTTGACACAAGAGGACGGTGCTCTGCAATTCAGAAAACAAGCACTACCTGCGATAGCGCCCCCAACATCGGCATTGTGTATTTTCGTCATATTCCTACATTGTCCCCCAGCACGTACGTCTAGAATACACCATTCATATGAATTGCACTCTCTATCGACGAAGTGGTTCCGTGACTTATATAGGTGGAATGACGGCCGTTCACAACGACCATATTATTTTCGTTTGTGGTCGTCTGTCAATAAAAATGATAATGTTTTTTGAGAGATTTACTATATTCTAAATGACAAACGACTGCACAACTAAGCGCAGTTGGACGTTTTGACAATGTTTTCACCGCATTGGGCATACTGTTGTAAAAATTGAACGAAGACACTGACGTCACGCACTGTTTTTCTTTTGCAGACCGTTCACGAAATGTACGCACTCGCCGACGATCTCGTTGGCAAATGACGACGTCAGATCGACGTCATCGCACTTGGGAACCAAGTTCTACTCGTCTAATACAGTAAGCACGGGTTTCAAGATGAATGATTCTAGCATACCGTGAATATATAAACGGGTCACTTTTTACACCGATATACAACATCATGGAATTTATCTGTGGTGTGTCAACCAAACACTCTTATCTCTATTTATTTTAATTTAAATGGAAATTAAATAAAAACCGCGTCACTGGTAATCCTGTGCTTTATTGCGGTATTTTACAATCCGTATTTATGTTTTCATTCATTCATTTAAATATACGACGGAAGTTATCTGTCATAATTTCTACTGCGATTAACAGTAATGATATTTTATCACTTGAATATATTAACGCAATAAATACAATTAATTAAGTCAATTTGTGTGTACATATGTGGTAAACCATCAGCGGAGGTAATGTGCTGACTCGCGGTGATTCACTGGGTGTTATATTTCATTCATATCCGAGCGGCGCTTTTGTTCTTCATGTAAATATCATACCCGAAAGTTCACTGGAGAAAAAAAGGTATTATTCTTACGTGGCAGATTTAGAGGGGCGCCCAACTAAAACAATCATTAGGTATGCATACGTATCCCAGAATATAATGTAATAATAATAATAGTCTTTATTGAAGTCGTATCCTAAAAATGGATATACATGTAGATGTAAGTACAATAAAGCATGGTTGTCATCCTATGTTAGAAAAAAAGATACACTAGTGAAAAAAAAATAACTGAACAAAACAAAAATTTGCCCGAGAATGTGTTAGAAATGCAAATTAATAAAGTAAATATAAGCATTACTTATTTAGATATCTGTGAGGCAGCTGTTTTTTTTTAATCTGATTTCTCTTAGGTTGAAGCATTCGTATATGTATTTTGCTAGACATTTTAGCATGACAGTATTCTTTGTGCCTAGTATGTTAATGAATCTTGTATCAGTGTTGCAGTCAGAACACTGTCTAATTGTGATGGGAAGGATCTGTAATGTGACAATGACATAACGCCCAACCAAAGTCCTACATGCGTCTCCTTTCTTGTAACAGTAACGTGTCCATGTCATAAAATCACTAGTCCGGTGCTGCACAAATGCTGCCTACATATCAGCATACGTTTACGATTAACTAAATGCGAGGTTATTCAAGCATAGTAGAGCGTGACAGTTTCTGTTCAGTTGTTCAGTTGAACAATGCAAAACTACTGCGTCACATTGAAACTTTTAGATATTCAACAGAATATTCCGTTAAAACCAGCTACCCGGTCGTTGAGTAGGGGTCCTCGAAGCGCATGCGTATGGTAAAAGGGAAACTGAATGTATATGCATTATAATGTTACAAGCAGAAACTGTTAAACAATTCCATTTGTCACTGCATTAAAATATTCAAATTTGATTGAAATAGTCATTTTGAATCATCCATAGACATGGTGCCCGTAATGACAATAAACTGTTTAGATCCTGTGTTATGTGTGAAATAACAAACAAACAAACAAAGGTCACAATGACGTCAACACATCGTGTGAGATTCGGCAACCGCGAGAATATTTGTTGTGTATTTCCACGCTCAATAAAATGGTATGCACAACAGAACTGATGTTGGTCAATTTCGATGAAGTAAGGACATCTCAACGACATACCCCCTCCCCGAAAGATGGGCATTTCCGGGTCGACATTGTACTATAAAAAGGAAAAGAAATCCAATTTAAAAATCAAATTATTTCGCATTTTGCGAAATCTCGAAGAAAATCACCAATTCCATTACACCCACTACGAGAAATTGAACAACTATATATATATATATATATATATATATTATAGAACTCATACTAAACACACATAAAACAAAAACAAAACATTGAAATACCACGGGAACACAAACGCAATACGCGTTATTAACTTCGCCTGTAATGGATGACAAACTCAACATTAGACTAATGTAAGGCGCCCGGCTCCCTTCCGGGTAGCACACTTGATTCGTCCTCATACCACTGATAAGATTTCTCACACCGTGTCGTATTTGTAAGCAATGTACACGACACTCGGCTCGGCTGTTTTTGTTTTCCGGGAATTCGAATTTAAATATCCGACTCAACGAGTATACCAACACCACTTAACGTAGTTTATGTACATGCAATAAGCCTTATACTCGGTTTAACTGAAAGTCAATCAAGTAAACCAATTATGACCACGGGATGTTCAGCAGTTCCCTATTACAAGTCTCCACGCTGTGGCTCTGTTGTATTTGTCATGTCCAGGATACTTTATAATCAGTAGGTGGCTCGTAATCACATCAAGACGACTTTCCATTTCCATTTCCTTGGTTGCTGGGTTAGTGAGCGCGCATCAACGACATAAATGGGTCGAATTTTATAACTATTCGTTCGCGAACCTCGTTTGCCTAACAGTTTCTACATTGGGTAAAACATAAACCCAAAGCTGTCCCAACCTAAGTGTTCTAGAACTCCTTATACGGGATTACCAATGTAAATGGTTATAGCACTGGAAAATATGAGTTACTATTCTTCTATTGTTTGTCTGTAAAAATGATCTTATATTACAAAATAACAAAATCACAAAATCAGTTGTTGAACAACTGGTAAACAGTTATCGTGTCCGTTAGTATGTTCCTTTCGATATTTCGTATTAAGAATGTTAAGATATAATAATATCGATAACAAACTTGTTATGCCATAGTGTGAAATTGATTTTACTATTAGTGTGGATAAGTGTCACGCTCTGTCATGCTGTTTTATTTGATTTGATATGGCACACCCGTCTCTACTGGATGCGAATTACATGGAAGTAATACTCTGCTCATTCAGGAATCCAATGTATTATTAATATGTTTTCCTACTGAAATATTTATATAACGTTACAGCGTGTCGTAATTTTGCTGTATTTTCGGGTATTTCCACCTACCATATCCAACTCAAAATATGGAATGATTACGCGCATAAGCGTCCTCTATTAATAAAAACAAACATGACTGTCATCGGGGTTTGACGGACTCCACTCAAAGAAGTTCACTGATTCAGTTCTAAACTTTTTGGATTTCGGCATTCCCGTGGTGTATCGTTGAAAGGAGAAGATGTATAATAACAATGCGCTGCGCGTCGGTCGATACTCTGTACTGTCTTCGTGCATACTTTGAGGTATCCTCGTAATAACCTCATATTCTAGGGAAAAAATCACACTGCTAAATAAGCAGATCGGCGACGCTGATGAATTAACATGAAGCATGGTTACCAGATTAATGCATAAAATACTCAATGTATGATTAGGCACTGTTAAACGCTTTTCTCATCTTTCGCTGTTCCGATTTGTTCAATTCTTTCAACTTGCTGAGCACGCCTAAAGGAGGGCGCAGTATATTCATATTTTTTTTGCTTTGTTTATACTAAATAAGCCATACCTTAATTATGTTTTCATTGTAAAAACGATATATCCATGCAAAAAATGATAATTACCGAAAGCAGATTAAATGTAACTATTTGTAGGGAAACATAAATTTAGCACACAAATTACACATTCAATCTGATCAAATGAACGGCACGGTGGTTCCTTGATCAGTTTTATAACACGTACTTATCATATGCAATACAATTTTGGATAACCAAGTTATAACTATTTACCCCTTATTGGGTTTGAGTAAATAATATTAAGATTATATTGTCATGCATAAGGTTTCAATATGAGAACAGAAATTTCATCATTTAACTACCAAGTTCATGATAGGATTTATGAAAATTGATTTGTGTGCGCTACATCGCAATCGTCAAGTCAGCATCGGCTTCATGGCCCACTGTGTATTCAGTAAAAGTATTAAAGCGGGAGGGTCGTCACCTGTGCACGCGTGGGAATTGAGTCCCAATCGACGACAACAACACACGCTAAAAACGCAAAGGCTTATGGTTAGTCGCTTGTTTGTAAACAATGACACGCTATGGATAACTGACGCATGCGCAGGTGAGGACTCTCCCGCTTTAACTATAGAATAGTGGATAATATCATTTCCCATCGATAATACAGAGTCTAATATAGGTACATCTGAAATTAATTTCTGGTATTCTTATATTCTATAATAATCACAAACACATTGCCTCCTATTATGTAGACTCAGTGCAAACCCCTTTATCATTATGTTAGTAACACCGCAATTATCTAGCTTTTTAGTATTATCTCAGGGCTAACCGTATCAAATGCATTGCGGAAGACAATCATCCAGCTATCGTGTATTTTCCGTTGTCGTTAATATTGATGAAGTATTCATGCAGCCTGGCCAGTGAAGTACGGATAGAATGGAATTCGCGAAACCCAGCAGAGGAGGCAGCATGAAATTTTGCCTGGGTGGGAGAGATTTGCTCACCAACCTTGCGCCGAGGGCGCGACCTTACTGGGGGTCTGGGGTAAAATTGCCTGCATTTTGAAGGGCAATTTTTGCTGACACAAAAGGGTTTCAGCTTGATTTTGGAGGGGCGACGCCCCCAAGTTTTTCTGTCAAGCGAGTCGTTCGTTTCGTAACACAGATATGCATTGCGCTTTAGAGTAAACTGACCTTTCACCTGAGTAAAGATTGAGATAGGTCTATAATTTATGAAATGAGATCAGTCCCAAAATGTCATTTCCTTTTAGCATTAAGTTATATTAGTTGTTCTTTATATGATTGTTTCAAGCATTATTATATTACATTTTGTTTTGTTTTTCCCATTTTTATCATCTTTCGACTTTTATATGATTGTTGAACTTTGTTTTGAACATTTTCGTAGCTTTGATCTTTTTTATTTTGGGCATATTCTGTTCAGAACATTATTTGTTAGGGAGGTGATCAAAATCAAACCACCGGTTTCCGGCCCGGAGCTCCGAGGAGCTGCTTTGTCCTCCGGGGAGCTCCGCACAATATGCAAATTTATGCGAGAATATTCATTGTTTTACCCACTGTTTTACTCCCCAAGAACATTAATTGTTGTATAAAAAAATAGGACAATTTAAAAGTAAATATTCATAGCTATAATTATAGTAACAAAGGGATTATATAACGCAGTAGTTGATAAAATCGTAACTACGCAACTTTGATAAAACGTTGGATCGGCGGTACACAGTTTCCAAAGTAAAATACCATAACGTAAGCTCGCATTCGCACCGAAAAAAATGCCGTTTCTAGGCGACCTTATTAAAAGCTAATTATTGAAATCGGCGGAGCTCCTCGGATATGGCATCTTCCTGGATCTCCGTGGATACCGGGCCGGGAACTGCTTGTTTGATTTTGATCACCTCCCTTAGCTCATAATCATAATTTATGCATAGAACTCCCTAGTCTTGAGTGTTTGATTTTGATCACCTCCCTTAGTTCATCATCATAATTTATGCATTGAAC